CTAAAGTATATGGATGTTGGGCAACCACTGAAAGGAGGTGGCAGATCTTGGATTGGGAACAGTAGGAGTGGGACCCTGTGCCTGCAGGAAGCCCACAAGCATTTCTCAGAGCCTAAAGGGCAGCACACTTGGCAGCTTCTAGCTTCCATACTTTGCCTTCACTCTTTTTTTCTGTACTGTCTGTTTAGATTCTTTCTAGAGTATTTTGAGCACAGTCCCTTCCTTCATCCCTCTCCCTGCCTTGCCCATCTTCTTGCAGCAATGTACTTGCATTCCCCTAAAGTATGTGTTTTGTATCACAGTACATCCTGCAAGTCATTTTTCTCTATTGAAGTACTTAAACTGATGGGATGAGGTGCTATAGAACGGAGTGTGTGAAGAAACTTAGCTGCTAAGGTGTTTTAATTTTCAAGTGGCATAACACAATCAATTATATTACACAACTATGTAATTCTGTGTTATTTCATCTTTATTGAATGTCTGAAAAATTCATACCTTATCTGGGAGACTACTTTTATGGATTTCTAGAAGCTACTTACGTGCAGAGTGAGCAGGATAAAATGTATTTATGTGCTACTGTTGAAAACATCTGGTGTATTGAAAAACAGGGAAACTAATCTCCTTAGTGTGCATCTTTATGCTCGTCAGTATAAGATAAAGTCTAATATACTTTATAATATATTATCATCAACGATTTTTTTTCCAATGTAGCAACTATTTCTGCACAGCATTAGCTGAGGGTTACTTAGTCTCTTAAAAATTGTTCAAAAGGAATATTTCCTGGGAATTACAGTGATTATAGGAAAGCGTACTGAAGGCAGAATTTGTTCTTGGGCATTCCTAGTGATGTTTTATGAAACTGTTGAACTTCATATTCTGGCATACAGTTAACATATTTGTGTATGTGAAACTTCAGACTTCGAACTTACTGAGATTTTACTCTGAGCATCAGAACTAAAAATCTTGCAGTAAGCAATGACATTTACTGCAGAAAAGTTGAGTTTAGTATTCCAGCCACCAGTAGCAATGGCAGCTTAGTTGTCTTTTTTTTTTTTTTTGCCTTTGCTACAAATGCACATGTGTGCAAATCATAGCTTCATGTCCACCCTGACCACCTTTTCAGAATTGTTTGAAACTGGCAAAATACTATTTTGGAGATTATGACCTTGTTTTCCCTTTTTTAAACAGGAATTTCTGTCCCTTGGGCTCACAGGAATGCATCTTTCAAGGAGCAGAGGGATAGATTATTTTTATGGGCTTTAGATTAGGGAACATTGAGAAGATGACCAGTCCACTCAGCCATAATAATGCTCTCTAAGCTTTTTTAAAACATGTCTTTACTGCACCTTACTCCATTGTATTTTCCTACACAATTGATTAGTTATGCCACATATAGTCTTGAAGAAAACTGTTCTTCATGGTGGCTGGAGTGGCCATATGGAAAAGTAGCTTCCTAAACTGTTTGAGGTTTTTCAGGGTGAAATAAGAATAGCAATAGAAACTTTGTATATATATATGAGTATAAAGTTAAAAACAAATACATTTTTTATATTGCATCATCCAGTGTCAGAGCTATGATTTTAACACTGTTACAACCTTTTTTAAAATGCTACTTACCTATCAGGCCAACATTGTAAAACCAAAAAATATGTTTGCTGTGCCTTCTTGAAACTGCATGAAGCAGAGCCCTCACAGCTAGGTTAGGTAGGTATATGTGTGAGAACAACTTGTCCCTCCCTTGTCCTCATCTGCATGCTGACATCCAGCTATATGTTATTGCCAACTTTCATAACAAAACAAGATTTATTATATATATGGTGCTTTTCTTTTTCATTTATTCATGATTGGCACAGATTGCAGTAGAGGAGAGACAGGTCCATATCCTACTATAATGGGATCAAACACCTCCAGGGTGTTTGTTAAATGCCATGTTAAATGCTGCCATTGCTTAAGAAGTAACATTCACAAAAGCTAACTCAAACCCGTGTCAATCTTGCTTTGCAACCTCTTGTCAATGAAGGGAGACAGGCTCCTCCTCCGGGCAACAGATTAAATGAGTCTTTTGCTTTGAGTCATTGTTGGGACCATTTTCTAGGAGAACTAGCTTCCTAAGGCTGAGGCTATGCTTTGTGAGTCAAGTCCTAGATGGAACTAAATGATCCTTAAGGTCCCTTACAACCCAATCCATTCTGTGATTCTGTGTTAGAAAACACTATTTGAATAAAATTGCATTGTAATCCCACTGCCTCCACTTCAATCAGTTATCAGAAGTCCCACTGACTCCACAGAGGATTGGGTTTCATCTGAAGGGTCTTGGGATTTACATGGCATACAATGAAAATCTTGTCAATTTTACAAATAGACAAAATTCTAGACTAGCGTCAACAAGTTACCAAACACTGAATAAGAATGGGACTCCATGCTCAGCTAGCCCAATAAATCAGAGGTCTTTCACAACTTAACAGGCAATGAGCAAAGCAGGTAAAATGTGTTTAACAGAGGAAAACCACAAGTAATAAACAAATAAACCAAATTCTGGTAAGATGACATTTGCATTATGTAGCAGTTGGGGCAGCCCCATTTTTGAAATATCCTCTAATGAAGCTGGTCAGTCCAAACAAGTTGTGAAGCTCTTCAGACTTCTTCACTGAAGCAGTGACAATGGATAGAGTGCAGAGTTGGTCTCTGCATGATCTGTCCAATGTAAATGTTAAGACATTTTAATTTGTTTCCTGTTTTATTTATTTAATATATATATTGCACTGTTACATATATAGGTTTAGTTTTGGCAGAAGTCACCTTAGCTCTCAGGTCTCAGTGAAGAGAACTGAAAGAACTGTTCACAGTTTGTTTGGTAGTAGCAACTGGTATGTGAATCCAAAAATAATCCTTATGGATGGTTTGTAAGGACACTTTTTGCTGTCTTCCCCAGTATTTGTGGGGTTGAGGCCTAAGAGAAATTAACTCACATATGCCACAGGAAACTGTTTCATATTGACAGGTTCTACTGAGCTTAGGGACACCCAATTCAAAACATTTCTGCTTATGAGAAACATAGCACACAGCTTTGCCTATTCTTTCTTCCCCATGGGAACATTTTCACATAGGAATCTATTTTGTCTCCTGGGAAATCATGGAGTAAGTCTTTGATAGTAGGAGATGAAATTTTTTTTTATACATCCCTTTATGGGTAGGGTTGGGAGGGCATGTAATTACTGAAACCAAGGGAGTCAGTGAGCATTTTTCTTGTAACACATGGCTGTAAATACACAAAAAATAGGCCAAATGGGAAGCTGTGTAACATCAGAGTGCTTTAAGCTCTCCTCTGAGATTGAAGTTAGATCGTTTTAAAACAGTCTTCAAAAGCGATATTAAAGAACTTGCAGGGCTTCCTCATTTTACATGCTGTCTTGACTAGCAGCATTTATTCTATCAACTCTGTTTAAACTGCTTGTATTTTTAGAAAGAATCCTCGCTGAATCACTTTTAAAGAAACCCACAATTTTTGTGCAGTTCTCAGCATGTAGATCTCTCTAGGTGACAGAAGAGGTTTACACTTCAACACCAAAGAACTAACTTTTGATTTGCTCACATTTGAGAGGTAATTGGTCAAGTAAGGAGTCATCTGTTAAGCCAAAAAGGTTAGGGTTGTTTTGCCTGCCTATTAATTTTCAATCTTATATTTATTGTTATCAAACAACATGATATTATTTATTTTTATTATTAAGAGAACAGTGCCACTACTCTCTTCCAGTGAGCTGTTCTTGGTTTAAATTGTAGACTACATTCAGAACTGGAGCAGGCTCGGTGTTCTTGAGCAATTCTCAGGTCAAGAGAACATACCTTCTTCCTGTGGATCTCATTTTGAGATGTTTTTTCAAATGTATACCAGAACACTATAAAATATATTCCCTTTGTTCTACCTGTCAAAACATGAAAATGTGTTTCTCTTTAAATAGAGTGTCTTCATCATACTCATTGTTCTTTGGGCTCTAGCTTTTACAAGTTTTTCTAACTTTCTTTCATGTATTATTAGAAAAATGTGATCATATAAGAACATAATTTATCTACTGGGTCAAGACAAAAGTACTTTTATCCCAACGTCCTGATGATAGTGGTAAACAAATGCTTAGGAAGGAGTGTTAAAATAGACAAGCATGTGGTGCAACTTCTGTTTATAAACCCTGCCACCCTGCAGCAGTCTGTGACTTAAACATTTCCTGAGAGAAATATTGCATGTGTGTATTTAATAATCCTTGCTATACTTTTTCTTCTTTCCTTTGTCTGATTGCTCTCTAGATCCACAATATTTATTTCTTCCATAGTACTGTATGACAGCAAGCTCCACCATTGAATTGCATTGTGTAAAATAACAATGTTGCAGTTTCAAATGCAGAATTAAGTTTTCATAGTGGTTAAGACATCAGATTCTGTCCTGGTCAGTCATGCTTTAATTTAAGAGTGCTAGCTGAGAGGGATGCAGTTGACTAAATCCTTGTATGTCATAAGTTTCAATTTTTTCTACAATATCCAATGAGATACAGACTTTGTTAATAAGTATTAAAAACACTGCATTCAGCTACATCTGACTTTTTTCTGTTTAGAAGAATGTCTAGGTGGGATGAACTTTAAATTTCATCTAAATGAGCCTTTCATCATTTGTGTGGAACATCCTCAGCTACTGACTGTATAGCGAATATCAGGTCTTTTAGCTTTCCAGAGCTCAGGTCAGAGTTGCTTAGGATACTGTTCTCAGAGAGGAAATTAAACCTAAATATGTATTTCTCGCTGACATTTCTAGCTCAGATTCATTCTAAAACTTCCAGGTAAAGTTTTGCCTGGGGTCTTGTGAGGATGTGTGCAGGCTGAGCTGTCTTGGAGGGCTTAATGGTCATGTAAAGATACAGTAAAATAAAATTGATATAATTTGAAATGTTTATTTTCCAGAGCTCCTTTTGTAGGTTAAATGCACAGCAGTGACTTTTCTCTCTGTTATACAGAGGAGCCAATATACTGTTATACACCACACAACTTCACCCGCGATCAAGCCTTGTATGCCAGAGGATATTGTTGGACAGAATTAAAAGATGCCTTGCCAGGAGTTGATGCCAGCCACTGGCCCTCCTTGTTTGAGCATAAGTTCCTACCTTATGCACTGCTGGCTTTTGCTGGGATAATGTACATTCCAGCTCTGGGCTGGGAATTTCTGGCCTCCACACGACTGACTTCAGAGCTTAATTTTTTGCTTCAGGAGATTGATAACTGCTACCACCGTGCAGCTGAAGGGAGGGCACCAAAAATAGAGAAACAGATTCAGTCCAAAGGCCCAGGGATCACCGAGAGAGAGAAAAGAGAGATCATTGAGAATGCAGAGAAGGAAAAAAGCCCTGAACAGAACTTGTTTGAAAAATACCTAGAAAGAAGAGGACGGAGTAACTTTTTAGCTAAGCTTTATCTTGCAAGACATCTGTTCATCATCTTTCTAAGCATCATACCAATCACATACTTATCCACCTACTACGCTACACAGAAGCAAAATGAATTTACATGTGCGCTAGGAGAGCCTCCAGACAAAACAAGCAGCTCCAAATTGCACATCAGAGTGAACTGTAAACTGCCATCTGTGCAGCTCCAGCGGATTATTGCTGGTGTAGATATTGTTCTCCTCTGCTTCATGAACTTGATAATCCTCATCAACTTAATTCACCTCTTCATATTTCGCAAGTCTAACTTCATATTCGATAAACTGAACAAAGTTGGAATAAAGACCAAGAAACAGTGGCAGAAGTCCCAGTTTTGTGATATCAATATTTTGGCCATGTTTTGTAATGAAAATCGGGACCATATAAAATCATTGAACCGTCTGGATTTTATTACAAACGAAAGTGATCTGATGTATGACAATGTGGTACGCCAGCTGCTCGCAGCGTTGGCCCAGTCCAATCATGATGCCACTCCAACCATGCGTGATTCAGGGATCCAAACGATAGACCCAAGTGTTGATCCAGCAGACATTGATGCTAATGAGCAGCTCATTATTAAGAGACCAAGGAAGAAGATGAAATGGATCCCAACTACTAATCCCCTTCCTCAGCCATTCAAGGAACAGTTAGCCATTATGAAGGTTGAAAACCATAAACCTGAAAAGCCGAAACCTGTGCGAAGAAAAACAGCAACGGACAGCCTTATAGCACCTCTGTTAGAATCTGCTGCAAAAACCTCACAGCAATCCTCCACTCATAAAACCGAGCCAAATGCCATCCCAAGCACAAGCAGTGAAAAAAAGCACACACGGCACTTTTCCTTGGATGTTCATCCATATATACTTAGTAGCAAAAAACCCAAACAAGAGGTTCAAGCCATCCCTTCAATGCCTACGTCAAAAAGCCAAGAGGGCGGATTTTTAAACCAGGAAGAGAATGTTGTAGTGCATGTCACCTCTTCTCTCAAAGGTACAGTATGCCATAATGCCCATACCACCTCCACAGACCATAATTTACATAGCGATCTTCAGGAACTCAGAGTTCATCTGAACTGTTTGACCTACCTTGCTAGATTTTGGGATAGCTAATAATCTCAGGGCTTGCAGGCTTCAGAATAGAGGCTTTTCTCTCTGTAACAGCTATGTGGAGGATAGGGATTATTACACCTAGAGGTGTACAAACAGACTGTAGGCTGTTGGTGTGAGTAATTTTTCAAATGTAAGCGGATTTGCACGATTACTAGTGTGGTCATGCCTTGCCAAGGAAATGAGGAGCATTTGGTCTCCATGAAACCCTTCCTGCTCCACCAGCACCTGGCGCATTTCAAACCTGCCTTATTTTCAAGTCATATGGAAACTGCCATGGTAGATGATCAGCACTCTGATGAGTAATAGCTCCTTAGCAGTGTGTGGGAGACTGTACTAATGGCAGTTAAAGCTGCCTATATAAAAAATTCTCTTTAACGTTCTTAGGGGTTGACATGTGTTTGTCACCTGGAAATCGCAACTCAGCTGATTGACATTATTCTTCATGCAAGAGATGCTTTAAATTGCCCTGTGTCTCATATGGACCAGAGGATGGATGGTATGAAGTGTGGGTGCTGGTCAGGGATTCAGGATTTCTGCCATTCCCTTCCAGTGTGCCTCAGGTTCCTGTGTGTGTCTTGGAAAGCCTGTCCCTTTCTTAACTCAAAGGAGTGTTTCAAATATATCAATAATTGCTAGGTGCTAGAGTGATGAGGAAAGCCATTTGAACATTAAGAAAAGTGATAGATCAGTAGATAAACTGATAGACAGATATCTTCTTGTTTATTTTTGTAAGCTACTGACATAAAGAAGCACTATGCAGTTGAAGTTACAGAAAAATCTGTACGTACTTAAAGCAATGGCTCTCATCTCATTACAAGCTAAGACCTCCCTCTGGGCTGCGACAGACTGACATCTACCGTCACCCCACTGCCCAGCAAAGAAGTGATTTGAGGTATAAAAGTTTCTGTCACTTCCAAATCCCTATGCTCCTTAGAGCCCTCCAACTCCCCAATGTGCATGTGAGCTATTCTACAGCATTCCTTATACAGTCACGTGCTCTGATTTCAACTCCTCAAAACTGCTGGGGTTTTCTGGTCTCAATTACCTTCAGCTAAATTAGTGCTTGAACATTTTAAGGGCAAAAAGTAATTACTGGAGTTTTGGGGCTCTCTGACTCCCCATTCGCATTAAAAATTTTCAGCTTTGTTTTTGAGTTAGTCTACATTGCAGTCCATCAGGTAAGGAAGACTTAAAATTTCTGGAAAGAGAAATCAGTTAATGGCAAATTGCTGAGTTTTTTCTAAAACAAGTGGCTTACAATGTGTAACCACTAGCTTTTCCCATTGAAAATGTCAATGCTTTTTGTATTCCATCCTGTGGATTTCAGCAGTCATAACGTTTGTCAAAACATTAAATCATAACATTTATGAAACACCAGCCAGACTGTAGAGGGGAATAAAATACACTTTTCAGTTGTTTATTTCTTCATTTTATGAAAATGCCATTCACATAAGGAAGCATGAGCATGCATAAAAAAAGAACAAAATCTACAAACCCCATTTGTTGTTTGTCCATTTCCCCTGAGCTCACAACCCTGTTGTTTTGAAACAGTCCTGTTGGATTTCTCAAAGGGTCCCAAGAAAATTCAGTTTGGGTCCACTTCTGATCCCACTGAAATCATCAGTGCCAAAACTGCCAATGACTTTTATTGGTTTAGGACACTCCTCACTGATGGACTGGAAGGATGAAAGACTACCTGTCCTTTAACTGGCTGTCTTGTTTTCTTTTAGACACCCCTCATCCTGCAAAAGAGAGTTTATATTCATCTGAGACATGCAGAACTGTGCCTGCTGCTGCAGCTTTTGTCACGTGTAACCACAACCATATAGCCACAACTGCTGCTGCCACCAGTATGGCTTTGAACCAGGTCAAGCCAGAGCCAACACCTGCACTGAACTGCAACCCAGCCCACCCTTTGCTGCACATCAACACGCTGTACGAGGACCACGAGGAGGAAGTTTCAAACATAATGGACAATGGGATTCATTCACCGACTGACACTGGGGAAATTCTCTCCATCCCTACCCCAAAGCAGATAAGGTTGGCAACATTTGATGAGCCAATGGCAATGGTGAGCTCAGTGGAGTACTGAAGACCTCGGGCTGCCCAGCTGCACCCTCGTGCTCAGGCCCAGGACCACTGCAGTGCAGACCATGGTTCCCCCCAGCAATGCAACTCACTGCATGAGCATGGAGAGTTTTCACACAGACTATAGCTTTTGGTAATAACAACAAAGGGTTTTTAGGATCACATCATGAGCACTGTTAGTCGTTTGCAAAATAGAATAAAGAAAATCTGGTGGAAATAGACCTTTAAGACAAACATTATCTCTAGCTCTAAACTATAGTTTCCTGATTTAAATGGGAATTAGCACAATTTATTAACATGAAGAGTCTGATGGCATGCCACAGCAATTTTAGTGAGTGTTTAAATCCTTTGCATTCAGAATCACCGATTAAAGTTAAAACAACACAGAGGTGAGGTATACTTTTTTAATGGCAGCAGTTAAATAAGAGTTCTTTTCTAAGCAGAGAGGGGTTTTTTTTTCAATTCAGGATTATGAAAAAGTTGTATGCAAGCAAAATTTCTGTTTGTTTCTTTAGCTCACCGATGTTGGGCTTGATGGAGACTTAGCTGAAAGGGCCTTACTACCACCAGCATTTAAGTGCAAAAAGATTGATACACTCAGTCTCTTGCATTTATAAATTAAAATACCTGAAGTATGCCCTGCCCTTTAACATGCTTATATGTTTGATGGAAGATGATGAAATTAAGAGTTTATTTTTTTAAATATATTTTACCATGGAAAAATTACTTTATTAACTTTACAAACCAGGTGTTACTTTTAACAGAATGTGTAGAAGAGAGTCATTGTAGCTGCTTATTTTTTCATAGTGTAATTATGAACCAGGTTAGAAACTTTCATGGGTGCTTCACTGATACAAAAAATCTTATGAAGGTCATTATAAAATATCTTACAAAATATGAAACCAGCAAACCTGTTTTCAAGTAACACACAGTTAAAGAAGTCTATGAATTTAGTTCAGCAGATTTGGCTAGTCCTTGATTCAGCAAACACTTAAGGCCATGGATGACACCAAAATGACTCATGTCTAAAACTAAGCACACACTGAAATGGCTTTGCTGGATCTGGACTCCAGGCAGACAATAATCCTGCGGTATGTGCTATCACTGATTCAATATTTGCCATCCTTGGCTCAAAGCACATCTTCATGCCCATCTTCCTATAATTACGGTATGTGTGATTTAATAGAAAACTCTAGTATAACTAAAACATCTATTAAAAGTGTATCATGCAATAACCATTCTCAGCAAAATTATAGTGAAACAAAAAGTGGCTGTGTTAAAATAATATTCCTAGCTGCATTCAGAATCATGGACTGTGTGTGTTTGCTTCAAAATTATGTATAATGGTAGAAAAAAATATGCAGCACAAATATGGGACTGAAATATTGAGTTTATTTTTAATTTATTACCTCAGATATGGATATATTATACCAATATTTAATGAAAATAGCACTGAAAATAAATACCTATTATTCTGAATAGTTTAATGTGTACTGCTTCCTAGCTTAGTGTTACAACCCAGCTCTGAGGCAGGGTAACTGATATTCTTGTTAATAGGTCTCTTGAGGTGGATTAGAGTAAAACAACACTGAATGACGAGTGTATATATATGAGGCAGGTTCATTTTAAAACAATTTGGTTGCAGTGGAAAGGAGGTATGTAGCCATTTTCATTCTTTTATCTGAAATTACAAAAATATGATGAAGAAAGGGTATAAGGAAAAGAAAGAAAGAGAAGGAAAGGGCAAGAGTGGATAGTGGAGAGGAAAGATATCGCCACCCATGGATCCAGTGATGAGACTTGATCGTTGCGATTCCAGTGTCTGTGGCTGGAATCATGGTGGCAGTCCATTGGGGGTGGGAGCCCACACAACAAAGAGTTTGATGCCCAGGCTTATGTGGGAATGCCCCAATACCTCCCCTGGGGAGAGGTTTTCCTCAGGGGTCTTTGGTGGTTTGTGGCCCCTTCTAAAGACATGACCACTGTCTGGCCCTGCTTTCAGCTGTGTCAGTAGTTCCTTATCAGAAGGGAGGAATACCTTCAGGCTTACGTGTGGATGCCCCAGTACCTTCCCTGAGGCAGGAGTTGTACATTGTCAGCCTTATCAGGAGAGAGGAGATTGGCATGGTAAAAAGCATTACCCCACTTCCACAGATCTTCTTGCCAGCCTTTTCCCTTATCTGGCACAAAAACACATTAAGACATCAACCCCAGGTTTTCAGGGAAACAGTATCAGGGCTCGACCAGCCCATCCAAGCAAAGTTCCATTCATCACACTTAGTACAATTGGGATTTTATGATAAGCAGTATGTGGGACTTAGTTCACAATGTAAAGCCACCATTCTCCCCTACCTTCTTTCAGTTGTGCCCAGCCTTTTTGGCCTGAACAGCCCAATACCAAAACATCAGCAAGGCACAGGACATGTACCACAGACAGGGGAGGGGCGTTGGGGACAGCCATAGGACCTGGCTGAAACACCCAAAGGTCTCGGCACGGTGCAGCATGGAGCTGATGGGGGACATGGAGCTCAGTCCAGGGCAGCTGGGAGGTGATGACTGCAACAGCTCCTGCTGGTTTGTCTCCTTCCAGCCCCGGGAAGAGTCACTGGTGTGACTTTTTACATAACAAATCTGCACCTGCATAGCCAGGGTCTCATTCTACCCAAGGTACAGGAGGAAGCTTTCTGCAGTGAGGCAGCCTAGGAGTGTAGCATCACCTGTGATAGGACTGCACGCAAGGTCTCTGCCTGGCCTGATGGGTTACTGCCAGTCACTCAGAGTCACCTGAAAGCAACAGCACATTGAGTCTGGAGGTGAGTCAAATGCCTTACTACATCCTATTCATTTAGATGAATACTGTAGTTAGAATTAATTTTTTAGACAAATTAAAACCACTATAGTTTAGTACTTGTTAAACACCAATAAATATGGAAGATTGCTGTAAGACAATCAGGAACTTGTTAATAAAGGCAAGGTGAAACAATAGGACCACAAGACCAGTTTTAAAGTGATGTAACTAACTCCCACTATGCCACTGTACTCTCAAATGCCAGAAGTGGTGAATTTCTTCCTGTGTGCAGCAGCTCAGCTGACAATGTTAGAAATGCATGGGGGAATCCTTGGGGTTACGCAGTCACTCTTCCTTGGTAACCATACATTGGGCAATATGTCAACCATATGGGTCTGTAGCTGAAGTAATGTACTAATATATGTATATACCAGTGTCAGGCAAAGCAGAACATCTCAAAACTAAGGATCTGCACTTTGTGCAGTACATTGAAAATAGCAACATTCAGTAATTGGAGGGAATTTGATTATACAGAAAATGCTGGGCTGGCTTATCAAGTAGGTACACATACTGATTTACTGAGGGTGGTGTTTCCTAGGAAGAGTTGCCCACTAAGGTGCACATGTTCCCTATTTATTCAAGAGCAAGACCCAAGTCTATGTGGACACATTGTCATTCTCTGTGACACTGCTGGTTTCTATTGCTTTGGGATCTGTCGCTGCTCTTGTAGAAATCAGTATCAGACTTAACTAGACCCACTTAAAGAAAGGGAACCATATAGCTTTCTTCATCCCTGGGCCAAGCTAAACTCAAGAGAACACCTGCCTTACTCATGTTTCCCTGTTGTGCTACAGGAGCATTGCACCATTGCCTTTCACAAACCAGAGGCTGCAGATGTCAGGCACCCAGCTCTGAGTGTTAGTACAGTAACTACTGGTTAAGGGCAGGTTGGTGACCTGGGCAGTGTTTCACTGACCAAGCAAGCAGAGAGCGAGTGCAGCTCAGTCTTGGCTGATGTGTGGTAGATAACTGATGCAGACACAGAGCAAACACTGCCTTGCTGAACTGAAAAGAAAATTTTTGTGCCCTACCTATCAAATGGGACTTATTTAAACTGAATGACCAAAGATGAGAAAGACGAGACAAAGCCTCATATTTAAATGTCTCTTTAGTCTGAATCGCATTTTCATCCCCATCTGCCTTGTCTCTGCCTAATGGTTTCAGCTTGACAGATCTGATGACTCACATTCTCCAAGGCTGCTTTCCCATTTACTTCACAGGAAATAGGACTGCATGCTGAGAGCACAGAAACCCCTTTCTTCAGGGTACACTTATTCAGAGTACGTTCGACAACCGAGAGACAAGTGTGTCAGAAACATCTTTTAAGCTATTTTTAGGCTGTGCAAACCCAGCAGGAGATCAGCCATTTCTGTCTCACAGCAGCTAGAGAAGTCTGATGTGTCCTGTATGTGTCTATGTATGACTGTGTCGTCCATACATTGCGAGTGCAGAACTACCATCAGTAGTATGGAGGTTGTTCTTCTGCCTGCCTTCAGTGGAAACATACCAGCAGGGAGGGCACAGTGCATAGTTTTGTGCTCTGAATTTGCCTGGCTCCTTGAATTCCTCAAAGGTGTCATTCACCAGGGGGAAATGTGTTACTGTGGGTGCTCTGGGATCCACCGCATCAGCGAAAACAGCATTCCTTTGGGTCCTCTTTGTCTTCTTGATTTAGCTCCACTTTGGGGAATGGGATATTTTTGGTCTTGCAAATGTCATCTCTATTTGCTGTGGATGCAGAATGTAATGGAGTTAAAGCTTTAAGACAAGATCCAGGTTTACTTGGGTATCCTAGAAATGCTATGGAATCTTAACTCATTCCCTAGAATCACTCTGAAATGAATGGGTATCCCAAATTAGCCACAGTCCAGTTTCCTACCATACATTGTAGACAGGGCGTGACCTTGGAAATACTTAACAGGCAAGTATACAGCCTGTGCCAGGGATATCTATAAGATATTTTACAGAAGGCTGCATGGCCTTGTTCAGATATACAACCTATACAAAGGTCATCTACAACTATGTCCTACCTTAAGTGGTTTAATTAACACAAAGAAGCACCATTCACAAGAAGTACATCTATATGGCAAGTCTGGTTTGGGCCTACTGTCCAAACCCTAGCATTTCAACTCTCCATCCTTGGAGACTCGTAAAAG